TTACAACTGTCATCCAATTTTATAAAAAATTACAGGAACGAGATTAAATCGTTAGAGACAATAGCCTCAGATAACTAACTACTGAGGTATTTTCTTCCTAAACTACCCTATATTCTTCCTTAGGGGTTGGCTGCAAAATTAACAATGTATAGGCAGGCCCATGCTCAAAAAGTATGATCCAATGGGGTGGACGTATTTTTTCAAATCGATAACTCTCGTAGGATACATTTGGCTGGCATTTTTATACGAAAAAATCTTTCTTTTTGTGTGGTTTGGTGTGAAAATATTTCCACACAAATTAATTATCGATTTATGTTGAAAAGATATACGGAAACCAATTGCTATGAAAACATTTCTACACCTAACCACGTGGAAAATTTCTTTCGCATTAAAATATTTTCACGGGAAATAAATATCTATCTCAAGTGATAAGATCATCTGTTGCTTACAACTGAAGGTACGGGATAGGCTCCGAACGCATTAATTCCATCCTTATCATTCCAGCGCGGGGTAGACCTATTGCATACTTCTGTTTCCTTTTACTTGAAGAAAAACTAGCGACTTAGGATACCCATTTTCTTAAGGGGTGAAGTTTATATAAGGTTGCAACCTTGAAATGTAGAACTATGGATGCACCTCAAATATCCATCAGAAAAAGTTGTTTTCATGTTAAAAAAACCCTCTAATTGATCATCTCGACATCGAAATATATGACTATGAAAAAAAAAAGATTTTACGTCCCAGAAATGGTGCATCTTACTACATATTATCTAGACCATCCATTTTCAAGATTTTCATATGTTTGTAGATCTACTTGATTTTAATCATTTTTTTTGTTTAAAATTTTATAATTAGATATGAAAATAGATTTTGAGATAATCTTAAGAATATTTTACATCAAAATTATATGTTATGATAAAATTTGAAGGTGCACCTTAAATGGATTGTTTATGGTTGCAACCTTATGGAAACCGCACCTTTTCTTAAGAAACCATTTCCAATATAAATTTTTTTTTCTTTTCGGGTGTAGTTTATATAGAGCCGAGGCTCTAAACAATCAAAGTAAAGTGCATTTTTAAATAGTATCGAGAAATATGGTTTTAATACTGGAAATCTTTGTTATAGTCTTAAAATATATTTTTATCTTTAATTATAAAATTTAAAACTTCAAAAATAGTGTAGATCCAGCAAATTTATGAAAAGTTGAAAATCATGAAAATTGACTGTCAAAAAATGTGTTACAAGATGCACTATTTTCAAAACTTGAAATCTATTTTTTTATCATGTCCATGCATCTTGATGTCGAGAAGATCAACTTGAGGATATTTGAGCATCAAACAACATCTTCTAGTAAAATTTTTGAGGTGGGCTTAGTTTGAGTGTTTAGAGCCTCGGCTCTACATAAACTTTTTCCTTTTCTTAATGGCTACAAATTCACCCTTTGCTCAAGAATTAAGCTCTCTTTGTATTTGTCCGAACATTGGTGGAAGAGCTTCGCACTTCACCCTTCACCTGGCGATGAGAGAGAGAGAGAGAGATAGAGACTTAGCCTTTTGGCCAACCTTGCCACATACATGAAATTTATTTGTGTAACGTCCACTTTTTTATTCCACGTCCAGTTGATCTTGGAGAAGTCCACTTCCTCTAGGAAAATTTTTAATGTTTTTTTTTGGCAGAAATCTTCAAGGCAAATGTGGAACAAACGGAGAATTGTTCTGCATAAGGATAACATTCAGTAAACACTCAGCTACCTAAATGAATTTGGGCTAATTTGATGGTCGTGATTATATATTATATTTTAATTTTTTTATACAAATCGATATCATTTGAAATTTGGATCTTCTGTTATTGAAAAATAGACTAATTTAATACAAACATTAAAAATAATTTGTAAAAATAAATTAACTACAATATCCATAAATTTTCAAGGGTATTTTGGTTCATTTATTTTTTTATAAATTATTTTTTAATATTTTTATTTGGTAAGCATTAGTGAGAGGAATTGATGCTCCAAATTTTATGTGATTTGAATTAGTACAGAAAAGATAAAAAATTCAAATACAAAATATAGTCATAACTATCAAATCGGCTCAGATTCAATCTAAGCCATTGGGCTTGCACTATCCATCAGCCCTTGAGCTGATATGATCGGTTACACTATCCATCAGCCCTTGAGCTGACATGATTGGTTTCATATA